TGATGATGATGAAGTTAATTTTATCATGCTTAGATCGTACATTGTAATACTATACAATAATCATAAGAAATAGACGCATTCTATTAACAATCTCCAACGCATTTTCTTTTTAACGACATCATCACTATCATCATTCAATACATTTAAAAATTCACGCAATAGTATCAAAAGTTCTTTAATCTTATTATCAATATCGATTTATATCAGTTTCGATAATACAACAAACATTAAATATCAGTATCTAAAAAATTGAATATGAAATCAAATCTTTGAATCTCCCTAAAACAAAATCAATTTTTTGAATTATTAATCATTATCATTTATTATTTTTTTTGTTTTTATTTAATCAATTACTAATAAATTAAATAATTGATAAATCAATAAGAAAAAGAAAATATTTAATAAATAATGTATCTAATTAAAATGATAAAATATAAAATAAAATAAAAAGAAAGAGAAAAACAAAGAATTACTTCTAAATGAAGATTAATATTTTAATTTTTTTATATGCAAAATTTGAATATTCAAAATGTATAATACAATTCGGTGAATGTTGCATATTCGATTTTGTTTAAAATCATATGTAATCGCGGTATATAAAAGAAAGGGGAGCCTCGTTCAAATGCAACAGCGAAAACAGCCTTAAAAATGCTACATTCGTTGTAAATCCTTTTATATACGCTCTAAATTCATTGAACAGATTCCATATATGTTTCCCCTGTTTGAATTGTAATAACATGGAAATTAAAATAACGAAGCAAAACAGAAGAAGTTTTTGATCAACATGATTCTAATATGATGCTAATAAACGATTGTGCGATTATCACGTCGATCCACGACGTTTTTGTCAATCTGGCACCAAGAATAATCAAAACAGAAAAGAAACAACGATCACGAGACTTTGTGGTTTCTTGAATGAAAAAGTAGTTTTGTTCTAAAGATACACAAACTAACAATAATTAGATTGACGTATCTTTTAATACAATTAAAATCGTGACTAATTTTTTCTGTTATTTTACTTTGTCTTGGTACTTTCTGGAGCTGGCAATGGTATAGGTTTATCAGAAATTGGAACCTGTTTTTTTGTCTTTTTTCCTTTCTTCTGCGACTTAGGTGATTGTTTTATTTCACCACTATTTAGATCCATCTTTTCTTCTGTTTTCTGTTGTTCTTCTTGAGTAGACTGTTTATTATCAACTTTCTCTGTTTCCTTTTCTTCTTTGACATCTTTTTCAATTTTGTTCTTTTCAGTAGTTTCTTTTATCTCCATAATAGTATTTTCTACCTTGTGATCAGAAATGTTCTCTATTTTTTTTTCATCTAAAAGATTTTCTGAGTTATTCTCAGAAGGAGCATTCTTTATTGGTTTTTCAATAGAAATATCTGCTTTTTTCTCTTCAGTAATATATTTTTGTTTCTTCTCCTCAGAAACATTCTTCAATTTCTTCTTTTCAGTTATATTTGATTCTTCTGAACTTTGTTGTGTATCCATTGCAATCATTTCCTGTTTTTCCATTGAAATCGTATTTATAGATTTGTTGGAAGTTTGATTAGCTTCTTGTTGTGGATCTGCCATTTGATTTGCCGTTTGATTATCATTGAAACTTTCTAATTTCTCCACACAAGTTTCGATAATCTCTCCAGTCTTTTTTATTGGAGATGATGGACCAGGAGGCAATGGGATGGCTTCCTTATTCTGCGACTGATCTTCTGGTTTCTGATTCATAGATTTCATTTTTTCAGCCTCTTCGGTAATGTTGGAAATTTGATCTTCCTGTTTTTCCTGTTCTTCTACTGACATTTGTTGTAAAAGCAGTGGGGCCTTCGACTCCAGTAAACTAATTGTTTCCTGTATACTTTTTATTGCGTTTTTACGTGCCTGTCGCACATTGTCTCTACCTTCTGTTTCAATATCATCCAATTTAATCAATTCTCTAGTAAGCATTTCATCTAAATAAATATATTCTTTATCTGTTCTTGAAATACCATTATATTGTTTGACTTGTTCAGCCAAAGCATCAACTTCTTTTTGAACAAGGGCTACTCTCTCTAAAGGATCCTTTAAAACAATAGGTAACTCTTGTCTCTGTTGTTGAGGCTGTTGAGTTTTTTGTTGTTTTGATTGCTCATAATGCTGTTGCTGAGGTTGTTTTTCACAATATTGCTGAGGCTGAGGCTGTCTTTCATTGTACAATTGTTGTTTGGGTTCTTTAAAATTATGAGTCTGCTGTTGTCTCACAGAGGGATGCTCGAATGCACTTGGCTGCTGATAAAACGGTTCTTGAAAATGTGGGGACCACTGTTGATGCCTTCCAGTAAAATGCTGACCAAACGGCGACGATCTTTGAAAATGTGGATCCATATTCACAAAAGTTCGGTGTTGCGAACCTTGATCGAAACTCCTTGGAAGCACAGGTTCATCTCTGCCTTCAACAAAAATTGGAATATGCCTAACATTACTTTGTTGTTGCGGTTTTTGTTGTTGTTGCTGTTGAGGTTGTTGTTGTGATTTATATTGAGGCTGATTATGCTGTGGTGTTATATCTATCCTGGAAACATATCTCTGTGATTGCTGTGGTGATTGTTGTTCTTGTTGCTGATTAAAAGATTGTCTATTTTCTGGAGGTGCAGACATAGAACGTTGACCACGATTTCCTTTATCAGTATTCTCCATATTATGATGATGTTGACCTATATCTACAGTGTTGCGTAATCCGTATTGTGGGATTTGACTTTTTTTATTAGTTTGCTCAAAATTTGAAGATTTGTTTTGTTGATTCTGATTAACGTCCGATTCGCCGTGGAAACTGGAGACACTAGTTCCACTGGCAACACTACTTCCGCTTGCCTGACTTGTTGCGTCTTCGTCGGAACAGCCTTGTTGATAATTATTACGTTCTTTATTTCCAATATCACGGTTTCGATTGCGAAAAGAATTGTGGAAAGGGATTTCACCCCAAGGTGGACCTAATAAATGATCTGCGAATTCTGGATGACGAGCTGCTAAATCATCCAGATGGGTACGAATATCACTGCGTCGTCCAAAATTGTCGTCGTCGAATGGAAATCCCTGGAAATTAAAAATTAGAATAAATTCTTTTATATTCTTTTCATTTTTTTTCTCTATTTTTTTTTTTTTGATAATTTTAATATCTTCTGAATTTTAAGAAATGAAGTATTAATATATAATTATTTAATTTTTCTTTATTTTTATTTATATAAAATAATTATATTTCTGTAAAAGTTTTTTGTCGAATACATTATATTATAAATTTTTTCTAAAAATTTAAGAATAATGAATTTCAGAAGACATCTTAATATTAACAATCCTACATGAACTAAATTAAAGCTTATATTAGATATTTAAAATCTATTTTATCAAATAGCAGTTTAATATCTTTACAGCAAAATTTTTACAGCGAGTTAAAAAAAGCTTATTTTCTTTCAGTATGCATAAATGCTATAAACGAATAATTGTAATTAAAAGAAAAATAAAGCATGACGTGCAATGTATTGCTATATTTTCTTCAAAGTTATAGAATCTTTTATAATTTTAATAAACACAAAATCTCATAGAAATTATTAAAAGCCATGCACATTAGTCCATTTACATACGTGAAATCGTTTTTAAAAATATGAAGATTTCCATTGCGATCGTATTTCTCAATTTTAGAAGAGCATTCGTAATCAATGTCATAATTCGTACATTCATATTACGATAATTCATGCCATTTCAAGAAATGATTTCGCGTGGATATTCCATTTGTGACGATGTGTATTACAGCCTTTACATCACTGGAAAATTATATATAGTGGCGACATAATGTGCATATGTATACATGACTTTTGCACGCGAATATTTTATAGTCTCACCCACAAAATATAATTCAAAGAAATTCGCTTGTGGAAATATTTTTTAATATAAATAATATATAATAAAAAAAAAGAATTCTTATAATATGTATAATTCTTTATATATTTTCATCATATATATTTATTTGATTCAATATTTTTTATATATTATAACATTTCAAATAAAAAATTTATCATTTTTTTTATTCAAAAGAATAAGAAAAATATATACTATTTTAATTATAAATTAATTATTTTAATTATAAACTAATTAATAATTAATAATTAGTAATATTTTGAATATTCTTTAATTTTAATAATTATATAATAATATTAAAATAAGAAATAAGAAATAAAATACAATAAAAAATTTCACAAAAAAATTAAACAAAAATAGAAAATAAAAAAAATATATCTTGTTTAATATCATTTTGTTTTGTTTCAAATATTGAAAGACTACAAGCGAGAAATTCGCATATTGACTTCAAAAGTAATATAATATATTAAAAATAAGAAATATTATAGTTAAAAAACTTATAAAAAATTATATTCTATATTAATTTAAAATTCATTATATTTAAGATTGCTATTATATTTAAATTAAGTAACCACATAATTACTTTCTTTGTTTCTTCTGCTTTATCTGGATTTATTATTACAAACAATTATTACTTTAGATTCAACAATAATTAAAAGTCATTAATTCTTTCATGATTTATTTTGTTTTGAATAATATTTCAAATAAAATTATGAAATTAAATTAAAATTAAATAGAATTAAATTTTGAAATGATATAATGATATATAATTCTGAACAAGTTTAAATTATCAAAGAACTATATCATATTTCTTACACTATATATAATTTGAAAATTATGCAACATGTTAATTACGAAATGCAATTCCAGGAACTGTGACTGAACTACTCTGCATTGAATATTCATCCATGAGCTGCATTCCACACATTGCTTGCCTTTTATGCAACTTTTCGTCTTGTATGCACTTTTCCTCATGTATGTATATGATGCATCACAAATTGCAAAATCAATTTAATATTATATCAATTTAATAAATAATCTATTTGAAATATTTAGTTATATATATAGTTTTTATAAATTCAACATTATTTTTATTTTATGGATCATCTTGATATTAGTTTTCATTTTAATATTTAAAAAATATATTTTATTCTTAGAAAATAATTGATTTCTAATTTATTTTTTTAATTATTTATTATATCTAATTGTAATAAATAACAACAAAGTGTAATTTTTGTGAAAATAAAATGCATCTATATAAACACAGTTATGGTTATTCACACAGTTATTGCCATAAAATGGCAAACTGGGTGAATATCAACGCCAATTCAATATAAACAAACTGTGTCATGGTCTTTTAAATTGAACTTACGGCAGATGCCGTTTTGTGGTTATTTCCTGATTTCTTTACGATATTGAGTTTTATGACTACATATATTTTCAAAAGAAATGAAGTTTTACAGTGCCGAAAAATAGTCAGAATTTAAAATCCAAATATTCTCAAAAATCTTATATGGTTTTTTAACTCTACATATAAATGAATTTTATATGCTATAGCGAAAATTTTGCAGAATCGATCAGTAAAATAAATTGAATTAATCTTTTATTTCTATTCTCCGACGGATAGATAACGCCTACACATATGTTAAGTTGAAGCATCATCGTCAATAGTATCAATAGTAACCGGTTTCATTTTTGCGTAAAAAGTGATTAGATCATGGATAAAAATATCTTATTATCGTTTTTTCAAGAAGATAGGTGTGCTGATATCGAAAACATAATTTCACTTTAACTTAATTAGAATGGTAATGGAAACAATATAGTATTCATACAACTTGATTGATATGAATATAAACGAATAATTACTTTTATTTCTATTTAATGAATATAGTAAATAAGTATAGATAATTATTGGATTAAAATCAGAATAAATATGGAATAAAATAGATTTATATTTCAATAATTATAATTCACATTCATAATGGCGACACTTAAAAATTTATGATTATTATATTTAAAAAATATATAATTAAAAACATAACATGCAACATATCACATATAGCTGACTATTATTTTTTTCTTAAATCAATATATTGAAAAAATAGTTTATTGTATTTTTTTTACAAACAAAATAAAATAAAATAATCTTTAGTCTTTCTAATTAATACTTTTAATATTCCCTATTTTATGACTATAATTCGCAACACATTTTAGAGATAATAATGTAATAAATTAAAACAATTAACTTTTGAAAAATTAACGATTAATTCAAAAGATTTTTCTAGTTAAAAATAATGGAAATATCGATGATGGAATTTCAAAAGAAAAGACCTTTTAAGGTCACAAGATCTCCAAGCAAGCCTAATACGGTCGAGTGATCGAATAAAAGAAATAAAGCAAGTCAGCGAATGGATCGCGATTATATTACGTTTTTTGTTTTTTTTTTTTTTTTACTTTTCTCTTATTTTTTCTTTTTCTATTCAATTTCTTTTAGTCGTAAGAAACGCAAACAACTTGACAAAGAGAGTTACTGAAACATCTCCGTTAGTTTATTATTAGCATCACATTTGTGTTTTGGAGGAATAGATTTTGTTCTAGGAAAATATATTCGAAACATTCGAAACATTTGAAACTGAGATTAATAAGTAAGAAAAGACATTGTTTGACATTAATTGTATTGAATCAAATTGTATTAATCTAATCAAAAGCTATTGAATTTAATTTTTGGTTAATATATTGCAAAATTGATAACATATAATGATCTTCAAAATAATTTTTTTATTTTAGAAAGATATAATAAAAAAATAAAAAAATACATTTAATAACAAAGCTATAAGAAATTTGAATAATTTTATTTTAATATTAAAATATTATGAAGATTATAAAATTCTCATCAAAATTAATGAAACACTTATAGATAATTTTAAAACATAATTTAAAAATAAATCGAGTAAATTAAATATATATAAAAAATATTTAGAATAATTTATTATAGCTGATTATATTTTAAATTCTATTTTAAAAATTATAAATTTATATTTATCGTCGAATCATTTTTTTATTTTTAATATTTACATCTCCTTCATTTCTCCCTTTTCCCTTGCCATTATTTATTTTTTATTTAAGATTAATATATTACAAATAATATATTATATATAGAAATTATTTAGACCTTATAAAATAATTTAGATAATTGAATAATATATAGCAATTTACATATGTATGTAATTTTTATTAAAAATTAATAAACTGATTATTTATATTGTTATAATAACAATCAATTATTTAAGAATTTATTTTATTTATTTATTTTTATCAAAAGAAAATAAAAAATTCGATAAAATTCATCGTTTTTGAAGTAGCAAAAACTACGTCACTGCGAATTCTATTTCTAACTTCCACGCGATCTCGCGGAACGTACAAGAGAAGGTCGAAACGAATCGAGAACATCAAAGGGCATGCGTATATCTTTTTCCATACTCTTAACCAGTAATATCTGAATTTCTCATTTACAATTTGCTATCCACTTAATAAACTTGTTCGTAAAAAAAAAAATCAAATGAAGAAAATAAAATGAAGATTCATTATATTAAATATAACAAATCAGTAATGGTTAAAATTAATGTTAATAATGAATTATATCGAAAATGAAAAATCAATGATAATCTAGAATGAACTAGAATGAAGAAAAAGACGTATTGAATATAGAACGATCTGGAAAACTCTTGGCAAAAACATTGAGAGTTGACTATATCAATGATTAGATTGCATGATTCGAAATGCAGGCTTTGGCGCAACGTCATAAACCAATTAATAACTTTTATATTATTCTTTCTTAATATTTAAGTGTAAATTTGAATATCGAACAGATAATACCGAAATAATAAAAATTGATAAATGGAAATTCAATACCAAGATTGATTTAATATCTGGATGTTAAACTCATATATATAATATTTATTGTAACGTATTGCGTGATGGGAATGGCAAAAGAAAATGGCACCACTTACGGGAAATGGACGATCCAAATCAATTGATTCTCCGAATTCAGATGCTTTGTCCACGATGACAGGCGAGTCCATTTTGCGGACCCTTTGATCCGTGCCTAATTTCGAATACGTGGTGTGCCTTTTCCCTTTTTTTCTTTCAAAGATGAAACTTTTTTAATATAGATATATGTTGGCTTTTTTTCACACACAGGAGGTTAAGTTCGTGCCCCTTTGCCATTAAGAGCTCTGCAGGTTAAATGTTTTTTTTTTTCTTTTTTTTTTTTTTTTT